AGTAGTCATTAAATACAAAACATGCACTCACATTTATCACACATTCAAATGCTAATTCAATAGGATCTAAAAGATGCAGAAGATACAAGTAATTGTACATATCTACTTATATCACATGACATAGCATCCACTGTCTCTAAGATTCAATAATTTGTGCTAAGCATTTATTTTGCTATGCATTATGTTTGTCATTTTTTTTTTTTTTGTAATTAATTTGTTAAAATGAATATAAAGCTATTAGGAAATGATATAAGCCCAACATTTGAGAAACATCCCTATAAGTGTAAAAATGACAAGACAAATTTTAGGGATTTATTACATTGGGAGAAAAAAGAAAAAACAGCTTTAAAAAAATGGCTAATCAACATGTATATGTATAATACGACAAAAATATTCCTTGCATATTCTGTACTAAACAAAATATAATTTGTAGGAACTAGAACTACTTTATACACTGTAGTTACAATAAAAAGTTACTTGTACTTGAACTTGTTCATAAAAATTATCAATGTCAAATCACAAACAAATACAAGACTTTGTAAGAGGGATAAAAGTTTGTTTGGTATAGCTAACATTAAAATTTTGTATACTCTCCATGTCTTTGGTATCATTCAGCTCTCCTTTTGGTATGATAACCATTATTATTATTATCTAGAAACTTGACATGATCATCTTTTACTATTTAGTCATAAACCTATAGAGCAAGAGAGTTTTATCCATATTTTTTAACCAATCCATTGAAAATATCTTCGTTTTATAATTCTGTTAAGTGGCCTTAGCCAATACTGGTTTAGAACTAGTACTTTAATCTCTTGGTAATCTGGACTAACATACACGTGTTGTACATCAATAACTAAGATGAGATATTAAGCTTGCATACCAATAAAAACACAAATGAGCAGATGCAAGCTTAATAAACTAACATTTATCTTGAGTAAAACAAGGTACAAGTCAGCATTACTTTCAAGTCTATCTATCCTACTACTGTAATAAACATTTACATTTAAGTGCAGATAACTAGAATGTCTGATATAGATTGTATAGGTATTAATACTTACAATTGCAGAAGGTATTGTTCAGTAAGTAGAATATATATGTGCCATTTTTCCAATAATAGGTGAAAAACCTACTATCCCATTGAAAAGAAAAACTCTGTAAAAAGCCAGCAGTTGATTAATTTCAGAGTCAGCATATTAATTTTCTAACTGGTATGACTAGCTGACTGACTTCCCTCACAGAATAAGCACAAGATACATTTAAATCTACTTGTATTTTTAAATATACATAGAGAAATTAACTTCTAAAAGTCAAATGCATACTCAAACTCTGAACTTATATATACTTTTAGTCAAGCAAAAGAAAAGATTCAACTTTCAAAATTAAATTTCAATCACAAAATATCTAACATTAGTAATGTAGCAGCAAACATTGCAGACCAGTGGTCAAGTTCCACACTCAATATATGTTAGTGAAGAGTACATTTTCTTGAGTATTATGACTAAATGTAACATATTTTTGAAAAAATCTACATAGTTGTATGTAAGGATAGAAAAACGTAATATCAACTTTGACATTATTCCAAACAACAAATTTGATTGGTCAGACATAGATTTACATGTAGCATTTCAGTGAAGACTTCTAAAGACCTATAATGTACATACTGTATAACAAGTATTAATATTATTTTCCTATAAAATATTTATATGAATATGTACAATACAAAAATCAACTGTTATAAAGACTTACTTAAATGTAATTAAAAAGTTTTTCTAGACATTACTTTGTGTATAATGTAAACTTCATTCCACTATAAACATGCAATGTGAAGGACAGGAAGTGAAAGCAGTCAGTATACAATAATTTCCACATAATATCCTTGTCTACTGAACCTATTCATTAGGTTATGTCTAAAAATCAATCATTTGGTACCATTTTATGAAATTTTTGTATGATACAAAGGTAATACAATAATATATAATCAAAAGAAGGGTATTTGGCCCATTAAGGCTACCCAGCAAAGAAACCAACACAGCCTAATATACTCTCCACCTATCCATAAAGGTATCCAACAAAAATATAAAGAAATGCAAACTATTGTAAACACCATATCATCTGGAAACTATTCCACAAGTTAATATTACATAAGAAGAAATTAACCTAATATCCAGCCTGGTCCTGGATGTCAGTAGCTTATTCTTTCTAATATTCTGGATGTCATGTCCAACAATATCCTACCACCAATAATAGACCCTACTCCAACAGACATTTTATTCAGCTTCTAAGAAATTTAAGCACCTGAATCAAGTCACCTTTAGTTCTTTCATGCACCAGACAAAATAAAAACTCAGTTTTTATTCACAGCTTAAATGTTTCAAACTAAACATCATTTGGGTTGCTTGTCTGTGAACTTTTTCAAGCAAACCATTATCTTTTCTATGATGATGGATCCAAAACTGAAGAGTGATCCAAATGAGGCCTTACTAAATGTTTGTAACAGTGTGATAACTTCCCTGTTCCTAAATCTTAGTATGGTTTTGAGATCTGTTTTCAAAAATTTTATCTCTTTTTCCACTTATAAATATTCAGCCAAAGCTTTGAGATTTTATTAATAATTACATGCAATTCCTTTTTACGCTCCACTGCACTCTATGACACATAATAAATATGGTATTTCCATACCCTAAATGCATAACTTTGAATTTATGAATGATGAAACACATCTGCTACAGATTATCCCACTCAGCAAGAATACCCATCTCTTTTGCAATAAGGAAGCATTTTTCTAAACACCTGACTTACTCTTCAACAGCAAAACTGAAAATATTATCACTTATACAGTAGTCCAAATCACTAATAAAAATAATAAACAACAAAGGTCCCACAACAAATCCCTAAGGGAGCCCATTTATCACAATCCTCTCTTTTATACCTTCTAGTCAATTTTAAATGTACCTGTTGAGTTTTTCCCACTTCCACGAGAATAAAATTGACTAATTCACCTGTCATGACAAACTTTATCAAAAGCCTTTTGAAGGTCTAGATGCACAATTCTCAAAGTTTATTAGGTATGATAGGTACAAGACATGGGTTTTATTTGGGAATTCAGGGCTAACATTCACATTTAAAGAAGCTAACAGTGAAGCAGCACAACTTGTATGTACTTTGTATGTTGGAGATGAAATTGAAGACTATTCTAATTAGGGTAAAGGCTATGGATAAAGAGAAAGGTAAACTGCAGAAAATAGCAGCACGATTTAAAGAGGAAATTAAGGTTTTGCATGAAAGGTATACAGTGGCTAATAATGACTTTAAGGCAGTTAAAAACTACTAATAGAACTAGTAGTGCTAGATTTAATTATACTGTTACTATTAAGTAACAGATTTCAACCTTTAGCTTGTACAGATGAACAGCTTTAAAAGCTCAAAATTAAGTAACGAAGAACAACCACAAATTTACAAAAATATGAAGATGATTACCCTGACTAGTTTCGCTGTACCACATGCATCATATTCAAGGGTATGCTCTACACCCTAGAAAATGACGCACATGGTAAGTCAAAAGTTATAAGTTATATTTGAATGCTAGGCTTAGATTGGCTGCTTAAATTTGTGAGATCACTTGAGTGGGAAAATGGAACTTTTTGTAATGGATGGTTTATGTTTGAATTGGGGAAGAATTGGCTTGTTTGCAAGTGCTATTACATCAACTGTAAAGGCAATTTTAAATTAGAATTAGGCAGTAGAGAGGGCCAAAATAATCAATAAAACACAATGTAGAAAAGACCTTCATGGATAGTTTATATAAGCTCAAAACAACTTTAAACACAAGAATCAAGCTGCTTTTACTTCTCAGTTTCAGTGAAAATAAGCAAATTCAATTCTTAAATCCCCCTTTAAACCATTAAGCAAATCAAACAATGAGCTAAAGAAAATTTTATTTCAGTCTTTACAGTAGAGAAAACGTACTGTTGTTACATTAAACAAGGTAATGAAAAAGATCCTTTAACCATCATAGTCACATTAATAATTTTCTTTGGTGAATTTCCAGACTGTTTAGGAATTAGTACAAACTGCTACTAATACTAATAGTAGTAGTACTAATCACAGTTTTACATTAATTAAATATTTCACATAGTTTTATTGTTGTTTTTAATATGATTATGCATTATGTAACTTAATAATAAATATCAATATTAATAACAATATGCAATGTGTCAAACTAATACTATTACACAAGTTTTTCGTTTTTCAAAAACATTACAATAGCATAAATAATTTGCACAGTTTAGCATTTACGCTGCTACTGCATCAAACTTGCACTGTTAAAGTAATATCAAAATTTAAACAGATAAAATGATAAGTACTAAAGCTACAGCATTTGCACTAGTAGTAACCAGCATGAAGTGGCTAGTGCTACTCCTAGTACCAGTACTACTGAGTACTAGTACTAGTAAAGTAAAACAAAGTAGAAGTTAGAACTAAGAAGTTAATTACGTAAGTACTATCACTGCACCAATATCTACCAATACCATTACTGGCATTAATACTAATGACTAATTTAGTAACTAACTAAAAATTAAAGTGAAATAGGGTTAACTCAAATTTTACACAGTTTTTATTATGTTGGTACTACTACTACTGTACTACTAGTGTACTGCTACTACTAGCTTGGCTTAACTGTTAATATTAAAGTTTAACTTCTGTTTAAGTTACTCTAGCAAACTCATGAAATTGAAACTAAACTTATAAAATTCTGCAAGTTGTGACGCGAATCTAAGATGATAGTGATACTATTAGTATTACTAGTGATAGGCATCTCGTCCTTTAATTCTTAATTACAGTAGGCTAACGTATCTTATCTACGTTAGGGTTTCACATATGATATAGTGGTTGGCCTAAGTCAGTAAACAAACTCGTTCAATCGTTGGAAACCTGGCTTAGTCTTAGTAGTCTTACTAATACTATACTAATGCATCCCCATTGGATTAAGCATTACTTACCACGAATATAAAATTGAAGGCAAATAACAAGTACTTGACAACTGACATCCCACCTTGCACCATTTTGATACTGATAGTAGTTTTCTTCTTCTTTGCAGTAAAAAGTTTACAAAACTTTGAAATGTAAATAGTTGTTTTTTTAGCAGTTACCTGTGAAATAAAATTAGTATTACTGAAACTTTAGTATAAGAACGTAACAACTTCTCCCTGCATATGTTTTCATACAGTAATAGTAATATGACGCCACCAATATCCTATTCACACACAAATTATTCTCTCTGATAAACGTAACCTCGTTCAGGAGGTTATTACCCACTATTTTTAGTGAGTGCTCCGCGGTTTATGAGTTTTTAAATAACATGAGTTTATAAATTAACACATAATATATATGTTTAAAAAATTAAGTAAGTAGTACATTCTTAAAAATTTCGTCTGTGTATCTTGAAGAGAATAGTTATTAACAAAATACTATAAAATTTAGGATGTACTTTTATGCGTAAAGATACCATAGTTGGCAAACAGAGTATATGACCTAAAACGTCAAAAATACGTCAGAAGAATTACGGGTAAAAAAAATATAGGAATTTGTACTGGTGTATTCAATTCTAACCGTTGTTTAATTGCACCAATAACGTAGGAAGCGTGGGGGGGGGGATCTTTTGAACCTCTACTAGTAAAAATGCAACAAAATTAGGAAAATGCATAAAAGAGAACACATAAAATTTAATCCAGAACCCAAGAGCTTCCAAGAACCAAAAGATCTAGACCTCAGTGGTAATGGGTGAGCCTGTGGCATACATTCCTTTGCTTCGCTTAGTCAAACATACCTTACACCCACTTTTAATTTGCCTCTTATACCACTGTGCAAATTCTATATCAATTCATGTTGTGTGTAAGTTTATTTTTATCTTTGTCCGCGAACTCCTTCCACAGGTTTGGAGCTAGTATGACCAAACTTTGAATATGGTTTGGGGAGTGTCCTAATCTATCTGCTGTAGATCCCTACCAAAAAGGACTAAAATACTGTTACGACAGCGGGGGTCACGTGACTCTAGTAACACGTCATAATCTCGAACGTTCACGTCCCTTCCTGAAGTTTCGAGAGGTTACTAGATGTACAGTATTCTTGCATATAAGACCGCCAAGAACTGACGGCAACAATGTAATGTGTAATTGAACTGCTGACAGAGAGAGACGTATTGTTGAGCACGCTCGTGAGACGTTCTTGTTAATTATAGCGTTTGTTATAGCGCGACTGTGGAAATTAAATGTATTGCAAAGTTGTATTCAGAAAGAATAAACCAGTTTTATTTAAGAAAGGACTTGTATCGTTAAAGTTCTTTGGAAAGAATTTTTACAGAAAATTAACTAACGACCAGAGGCATAACAATACGCTCAGAAGGTCGCCTCGGCATTATGGGAGGGGGAGATTTAGGAGTAGGTTTATCAGAGTTGCCTAATCCAAGTCTGAGATCGGAATTTGGGTTCTCGAGCTCTCATCTATATCCAGGGGTTGCCATGTCTGAAAATGTTTTGTATCCCCACCCCACTAACAAATAAGCCACATGCCACACGTGCTGTCTGTAGAAGTAATCAGGGATAATGGAGGCCACCAAATTCTAATCAAAATCATAAAACTGTGTACAACATTAGGAAGTCCAAGTCTTGCTTTCAAATGACTTCTTTTGATGCATCATAGGAGATAGTGGAGCCAGGATTTATGTCCAGCTTCAAAGTTCAAGGTCAAACCTATCGTCGAATCAGGTCCATTCAGCTTCTGCCTGGCAAAGAGTTCCAGTTTGTCCAGATTTACTTCATTGAAGATGAAGGTCAGTAAGGCAATCACCAATGTTCCTGGTGTCTAACTAGAGATTTTCCTCTCCCTCCAAGGGATGTTCCACCAACACAAGTCACCTCTAATGATTACCAAGTTGTAATCAGTGCAGGAAAAAACTCTAGGGGAACATGTATAGAGATTCAATGCCCCAACCTGTGATGAAGTCACTGTTCTTATGGTGGGTGAAGAGCATGCTAAGAGAGAGACATTATTCTTCGATATGAAGACAACACCATCAAACGAATTCCTGAGACAAATAGAGCCTATGGTGCCCTACAATATCCCATGATCCTGTGGAAAGGTCAAGATGGGTACCACTTCCAGGTTCCTAACATTATCAGAGTGACAGGCCGAGCTCATCCTAACAAAACCATCTCCTCCAAGGATTTCTATTCCTTCATGATCATGAACAGAGAAGGAGTAAACCACATCTTAAGGTGTACCAAGGTTTTTCACCATTATGTTGTGGATGAGTACACCAAAACTGAGAGTGAGAACCATCATTACATTCAACTCAATCAAAAACACCTGCATGTAGAACAGTATGTTCATCTCAGGGATGCCAATGGAGGTGCAAATGCTCAAAATATGGGGATATTGGTTATTTTGCCTTCATCACTCACAGGTGGACTAAGATACATGCATGAGAAGACTCAAGATGTGATGAACCATGTCAAGCAACATGGCAGGCCCGATCTCTTCATCACCTACTCTTGCAATCCAAAATGGAAGGATGTCCAAGTTGAGTTTTATCAAGAACAAAAACTAAACAGAGATACATGACATCATTACCAGGGTGTTTAAACTCAAAATTTGTGAACTGATGAGGTTGACCACAACAAAGGATGATAGTGTTTTGGGAAGACAAGATGCAAGTTCCATACCAATGAGTGGCAAAAACGTGTCCTTCCTCATGCCCACATCTTGGTATGGTTGAGAGAGAGATTCATGCAAGTGAGATTAGCATATTTATCAATGCTGAGCTACCTGACCCTGAAAAAGACTCTGGCTTATTTGATGTGGAGCTCAATCCAAATTCATTCTGCATGCAAGACCACAAGTGCACCAAGATGTATTTTAAAACTTCTTGCAAGAAACTCGGATAGGACATGATGGCTATCTTCTATACCATCACATGAAACCTGAAGATGGTGGTTTTGAAACAATGCTCAGACCTGGCACTAACCCTGAAATGAAGATTGACAACTGGTGGATCATTCCCTACTGCCCTCTTCTAAGCAAGATCATTGAGGTTCACATCAATGTAAAAATTTTGCAATTCTGTGAAATCCATCAAATATGTTTGCAAATATATCAACAAAGGATCTGACATGGCTGTTTTTGCCTTGGAAAGAGAGGAGAAAAGTGTGGATGAAGTTCAACGTTTTGAGCAGCAATGAGGCTATTTGGAGAATTCTTTGCTTCCCCATTCATGAGTGTTCCCCCACAATGGTCGAAAATGGTCAGTGTATTTACTTCTGTGAGGAAATGCTCAAGAACAGGCTTTGGCTCCAAAAAATACAACCCTTATGGCATTTTTTAGGTGCTAAAGAGACCCAATTGCTGCCAACCTGCTCTATGATGAAGTTCCATTCTACTACATCTGGACTGCTCAAAACAAATGGAAACGACGTGCTGGTGAATCTGATGCCTTAGGAATCATCTACATAGTTCATCCCAATAACCAGGAGGGGTACTTTCTGCAAATGCTTCTCCATGTTGTCAAAAGGCCAAAATCATTCCAATACCTCAGAACAGTGGAAAAAGCTGTCTGCCAAACATACAGGGAAGGTTGCCATCTTCATGACATCCTTGAACATGATCAACATCTTGATGAAGCCATAACAGAGGCGACTGTTAGTCACTCTCCTTATCAACTGAGATTGCTCTTCTGCATCATTCTTCAAGTTTGCAGCCCATCCAATCCCATGGGACTCTGGACGAAATACAAGGAAGGGATGAGTGAAGACATCCTTCACAGAGCTTAGAGGGAAAATCCCAACCTCGAGGTTAAATTTTCTGATATCATATTTATCCAGGCCCTCATCCTCATTGAAGACAAACTTCTCTCCATTGGTGGAAAAGAACTCAAGTCTATGGGATTACCAACATTCTCCAGAAATAACCAGCATGCCTTTGCCTAAGAGATCCTACATGAAATTTTCTATGATTTTTTTGTACTTCTTGACGTTATTAAGGAAAATGTGCCAAAGCAGATGGATGAACAGAGAGAAACCACCACGAAAATCTTGGAAGACGTTAAGTCTAAAAATGGAGGTATGTTTCCCTTGATGCACCTGGTGGCACTGGGAAGACATTTGTTTTTAACCTGCTCATGGCTAAGGTTCATCAGAGGGAACATTGCACTGGCTGTGGCATCATCAGGGATTGCAGCCACTCTGCTTACTGGAGGAAGAACTGACCATTGGATCTATCCCAACAAGAGTCCCCTGTTTACAACATTTTAAAGGGGACTGCTCTTGCACAAATCCTGGTTGAGTGTGAGATATTAGTGTGGGATGTATGCACCATGTCCCACAAGGAAGCATTTGAGGCTGTCATTACAACTTTGCAGGACCTTTCAGGTGAAGCCAGGATTAAGGGTGGTGTAACTTTTCTCATGGCTGTTGACTTCTGACAGACCTTATCTGTTGTACCTTGAGGAACCAAGGCTGATGAGTTGAATGCCTACATCAAATCATCATTCCTTTGGAGACATATTTTCAAACTTAAGCTAATTACAAACATGCGAGTGTATCTCCATGGAGAATAGAGGCAGGAAACTTTGCTGAAGCTCTTCTTGACATTGGAAATGGAAATATTTTTGCTGAGGGCACAGATGGACCTATTACCATGTCTAAATGCATCTTTTCCACCTCAGGAGAGGATGACATTATCTAGTTATTGGAGAGGGCTATTTTGACTCCCAAAAATGATGCTGTTGACAGGATAAATTCCAGTTTGTAGAAGAAATTACTTGGAGAGAACAAGTCTTACAAATTCATTGACTCAGTGTTGGATCCTGATCTAGTTGTTCACTATCTAGTTGAATTATTGAATTTGCTGCAACTCCCACCTGTTCCACCACACCTCTCATTGGGGCACCTCTCATGCTTTTGAGAAACTTGAACCCACCTATGCTATGCAATGGTACAAGGTTAACTGTGAAAGAATTACTTTCTCATGTCTTCAAAGCTACAATTATTACAGGCAATTTCAAAAGTGAAAATGTCTTTCTGCCTTGGATACAGTCTTTGAATTCAAGAGACTTTAATTCCCCATCCAACTCAATTTTGCAATATCCATTAACAAGGCTCAAAGACAATCTTTAAAGGTGGTTGAACTAAATTTGACAACTCCTTGCTTTTCTCATGGGCATTGACATTACTTTACACCAGCAGGCAAGACCTTTGTTTGTTTGTTTTAGCACAAAACTACACTAAGCTATCTACTGTGTCCACTGTGGGGAATTAAACT